GGCGTATAATGGTTCTGGTCGCTCCAGTATCCACCAACAATGTATGCTTTTTACCATTTATTTCTCCATCTACATATACACTATCTTCACGACATTTCAAAGAAGCTATCAGTATGAGAGGGTCTTTGGAAAAGTTCTGGGTCGAAGCTGCCCCCCTAAGGCCGACCCGTTCTAGTTTTCCTGATGGTGAGTTTCTTGATTTGCGTCGTACCTAGGATGCTTACAAGAACTTCGTACGTGTCCTATTTCGCCACAATTCCAGCATCTTATGGTCTTCGGTTTCTTGTATGTCATGCTTTTCATCATATTAACGAGCTGGTCAAGTTTACCTTCATCTTCTTCCTCTTTTACAGTCCTAACTTTACTGTAACCGCCAGAGACGAGTCTGCGTAGCTGACTCGTATTCGAGGGCGGCGGATAAGACATCAACCAGCGTCTTGTGACGAGCTAATCGTAGTGTTCTTTGCATCTCATGATCACGAAGACCATCAATAAACGTTTGAACGGCCAACTTTTCCATCATGTCTTCGGGAGCTGTTGGATAAGCATATCGCACTAATCTGGCAATATCTACTTCATATTCTTGAAGGGCCTCATCTTTCTTTTGTCTTCGATTTTTAAACTGCGACTGATATACGTGCTCCAAGTGTTCGTGGCCATATCGCATATTTAACCTCTTCTTCAGTTGTTCGAAATCATCCGTCTCCTCTACGGCTATGGTCTGGAGCACATCTAAGGCATCTCCTCGAAGAGCGATAGTCAGGTTTACAGCCTTTTCTTTTTCAGACCATCCATTCGCTCTTGCAGCTGATTCGAACTGTTTCATGTAGTTGTTCCATGATGATTTTCCGTCGAAAGTTGGGACTTTGACATGAACGGAACTTCCACTTCCTTCAAATTTCGGCCGTGTTTCCAACTTACATTTCGTCTCGTCTTCTTTTGTCTCTGCTATAATTGGATTGTTTTCTCTCTCGGCGGTCGTTGTTTCCTCCATCTTCCTTTCCATCTCTTTTATCTTCTCTTCGAAGGCCAACATATCGGCAGCAACTTGGTTCTTTAACGACGATACTCTATCGTCGAGGGCAGACATCTCAGAAGTAACTTTAGAGATTTCCAAGGAGATGCTAGCAGAAACTTTGCTTTCTAGGGAAGAAATCTCGTTAGAAACTTTGCTTTCTAAAGAAGCGATATCACAGGAAACCTTGGCTACATCGGAAGAAACTTTATTCTCCAATTTTGAAATTGACGCGATGACAGCATCTTCAAATATATAAGTTTCCGGATCTAAACCCTCTTCCTCCAAAGCATTCTTTAGTCGTTGGACTAACTCAGCCTTTTTTCCGGTAGAAGCTAATTCTCTGTCCTCAAGATGCCTTCTTAAATTCGTAACTGTGAGCTCGTAAATCGTCGTCATATTTCACTTCTTTTTATTTAAAGTTCAAATTAGATTTATTTAAAATCCCGCTTTTTTATTTGAATATCCCACTTCTGACTCCACTGTTGTATATTTATATAGTTCGAATTTATCTGTCTTTATTCTAATTTATTGTCTATAATCTAATTTATTAAAACTCACGATAGCTAATTACTAATTTATTAAATAACTTTACAAATGTATTTATTTCACGTTTCGTTACAAGTAAACCGCGTTTACCGATCTTCTTATGACTGACCCTTCAATAAAATTTCGTTCTTATATAAAGAACCGTAAGACCGCCTAGACCTGACCTGACCCTTGGCGAAAATACTGGAATGATCTCGTATTTTGGTGAAGGCGCTCGACTCGTTTTTCAACTGTTTGAAAAGCCTCGACGCGTGGATTATTCATAAAATTAGGGTCTAGAGGTTTCTGTAAACAACTTCGAATTTACTAGAACAGAAAACAGAATTAGTCATAATATATTGATAGTTTAAACGCCATAATTATCGTAACAGTATCCTTAGTATAAGTTTTATTCCCTACAATGCATATTTCATTAGTTTAGATTTTTAATAATTGTTCTGAAGATATTTTTTGTGGCATTTTAAAGTAATTACTATTTAAATGGGAATAAGCCAGAATTCCATAATAGCCAGATCCCTAAGGACTGGAACGAGAGTCTAGTAATACTCTTACACAAAAAAGGGGACAAATGTGATCTACAGAATTATAGACCTATATCGTTGCTCAGTCAAGTATACAAACTATTTATAAGAATTATTAATAACCGGTTAACCTACAAAATGGATAATTACCAACTGGTTGAACAGGCTGGCTTCCGCAAAGGATATAGTACATCAGACCATCTGCTGACAATGAGAACATTGATAGAGAAGGCAAATGAATACCAACTACCCGTATTTCTTGCCTTCTTCTTCTTTAAGTGCCGTCTCCATCAATGGAGGTTAGCGGTTATGGTGGCAAACGTTTGTCTATCTTCAGCTGCTCTTAAGAGTTCCTCAAATCCAAGTCCTGTCCAGTTTCTGATATTACGTAACCAGGACAATTTTTTTCTTCCAATTCCTCGCTTTCCTTCTATTTTGCCTTTTATTATCAACTGAGGGATGTAGTATTTCTCGTTGCGCAACAAATGCCCTAAATAACTGGTTTTTCTTCTTTTGACTGCTCTCAATAGTTCTTTTTCTAAATTGAGTCTAGCTAGTACTTCTTCATTTGTTTTTCGTGCTCTCCAAGGAATTTTTAAAATTCTACGGTACACCCACATTTCAAATGCCTCGATTCTATTCAGGCTCTTTATTTTTAAAGTCCACGTTTCGACTCCGTAGAGAAGAACAGACCAAATAAAACATTTTACAAGTTTTAATCTCAATTTAATATTTATATGTGTATCGCAGAATAGAACGCGCATCTTAAAGAAACTATCCCTAGCTTGAGCAATTCTCGCTTTAATTTCTTGTTCTGGGTCCAGCTTGCAATTAATCCAACAGCCAAGGTATTTGTATTGGTTTACCTGTTCTAAAATATTCCCATTTATTTTTATAGGTAAGGGGATATTCTGTTTTCTTTGGATCACCATTACTTTTGTTTTTTTTTTCGTTGATCTTCATTCCAAACTCTCGACAAGCATCCTTAAGGTGGTCTATAACCCCCTGTAAGTTTGTGTCTGTATCAGCCAGTAGGACAGTGTCATCTGCATATCTTATGCTAGATATTGGTTCTCCATTAATTTTTATTCCCGTGGAAAGGTTTTCCAAGGCTTGCTTGAATAGTAGTTCCGAGTAAAGATTGAACAGCATAGGGGATAGTATGCATCCTTGCCTTACTCCTTTATTTATACTAATATTTCTAGATGTATGATCGTCGATCCTAATCTTGGCACTCTGCCTCCAATATAAGTTCTTAATTAATCGGAGATCTTTACTATCCAAGTTGATGCTCTGCAAGAAATTTAACATTTTATTATGGTTTACGCGATCAAATACCTTTTCAAAGTCTACAAAACATAGAAAGACATCCTTTTGTTGGTCGTAACACTTCTGCAGCAGTACTTGTAGTGAAAACAAGGCCTCTCTGGTCCCCATTCCGGCTCTGAATCCAAATTGATCGTATCCAACTTCTTTTTCACACCTTTTGTATACCCTATTGTGAAGTATTTTTAATAGAATTTTAAGCACTTGGCTCATAAGACTTGTTAATCTAAAATCTGCGCATCTTGCCTTCGTCGACTATGAAAAGGCGTTTGATAGTATCGAGATGTGGGCCATAGAACAAGCTATTAATAATTGTAGAATAGACTCGAGATATAGGCAACTAATACTTAATATATATGAAAATGCAACTATGATAGTACAACTAGACGAAAATACAAATCCCATCCCCATTAAGAAAGGAGTGAGACAAGGAGACGTAATATCGCCAAAGCTTTTCAACCTAGCCAGCCCTAGAAGACGTCTTCAAAACTACAAATTGGTCAACCTATGGCAATAACGTTAATGGCAGCAAGTTAAACCACCTCAGATTCGCTGACGACATAGTGATTATAGCGAGTACATTCGAGGAACTGCAAATTATGTTGGGGGAACTAGCAGGCAGCTCCCAATACGTCGGCCTAAAAATGAATATGAAAAAAAAAACAAAAATAATGACAAACACAGAAGATCCCAGACATATAACTATAAACGGCAGTGAGATAGAACAAATCCAGAAATATATCTACCTAGGACAAATCCTGAGACTTGACAAAGAGAACCAAAGTGCGAAAATTACAAGAAAAGCAAGACTAGCATGGGCAGGATGTGGAAAACTTAGTTGGATACTTAAGAACCTTAAAATACCCCAATATTTGAGAAGCAAAGTGTTCAACCAATACATCCTTCCTATCATGACATATGGATGTCAAACCTGGACCCTAACCAAGGCAAACATGAATAAACTAGCCACAACAGAAAGAACAATGGAAAGAGCAATGTTAGGTGTACGACTATCAGATAAAAAGAGGAACGACTGGGTAAGATCAAAAACAAAAGTCGAGGACATAACAATAAAAATTGCAAAACTTAAATGAAGCTTCGCGGATAACACTGCTAGACAGAAAGACCAACGTTGGAATACGACAATACAACATTGGAGACCTTACGAAAGTAAACGACCAAGAGGAAGACCACAGATGAGATGGGTTGATGACATTAGAAGAATAGCCGGAACAAATTGGAAATATGTTGCTCAGGATAGAGACCGATGGAAGGAGTTAGGAGAGGCCTATGTCCAAACATGGACGACAGAAGGCTAAGAAGAAGCCAGAATTAAAGGTAAAAATACGTTAATTGACATTTCAATTTCCACTTCGGAAATCGTTCTCAAAATACAAACATTAGTAAATTACTGCCAATTTACTGATGTTTGTATTTTGAGAACGATTTAGTGGTAATTGAAACGTCAATAAACGTATTTTTACCTTAAATTGTGGCTTATTCCCATTTAAATAGTAATTAGATTTTTAATTTGTCGAATATACTTGAGTACATATTTAATTATTTTAATAGTGTCATCTTAATTTTAGGTATGAGAACAATCCAAATAGAGGTGACGGATCTTATAACTACTTCTATGAAACTGGCAATGGAATTGTAGCAGAAGAAAGAGGGTTTCTAAAACCACTAGGTCCGGAAGGTACACAACAAGCTGATGGAAGTTTCTCATATACCGCTCCTGATGGTCAAAGAATAAGTTTGCAGTATACGGCTGACGAAAATGGTTTTAGACCTGTGGGAGCGCATCTTCCCACTCCTCCACCTATACCAGATGCTATTCTAAGGTAATATTTAAACCTTAATAATAATTTCTTCATAGTCTTTCATTCTTAATAGTTTCTTCATTTGATTTTACGTGCTAAGTTTACCTATGGTTTTTCATGGAGTATATTTTGAGTATGATTGGTGTTTTTACGAACTTATTTACGCGTATAAAAATATCCTTATATTTTAAAAATAATCTGCTGTATTTATTATTTACAGTGGGTAAATACAACATATTTCTTTAATAATATTCCCTAACTTTTACATTTGTCGTTTATCTGTCACAAACAAGATAAAGAAACGGCTTGTATGAGATTACTAAAGATCATCATCATCTTCTTTGGCTCGACAATCCTCTGTGGATCTTGGCCTGCTCTAAGATTCGTCGCCATTCTGTTCGGTTTTTGGTTTCTACTCCATCTAACCACCTAATCTGCGGTCGGCCTTTGCTTCTTTTTCCTACAGGTGTTCCTGTGGTTAGCTTTTTAGCAATGGTATTTTCTGGCATTCGTATTATGTGTGCAGCCCATCTAAGTCGCTGTGTTTTAATGAACGTTATGACATCTGGCTCATCAAAGACCTGAGACAATTCAAAATTATATCTTCTGCGCCACTGCCCTTGGTCGATTACAGCTCCAAATATTTTGCGGAGTATTTTACGCTCAAATATTCCCAAAAGTCTTTCATCTTTCTGCGTTAGAGTCCATGTTTCTGCTCTATATGTGAGGACCGGCCTCAGCAATGTTTTGTATATAATAATTTTAGTTTTTCTTTGAATGTTTCTTAAGTGGAAATGCTTTTGGAGTCCATAGTATGCCCTATTTGTAAGATTTATTCGTCTTTTGATTTCTTCGCTTGTTTTATTAGTAGCAGTCAATAGCGACCCAAGGTATGTGAAGTTGTCAACACGTCCAAAGGTATGACTTCCAAAGACTGTTTCTCGTTCCTCATTTGCTATCGGATTCTTTGTAACCAACATGTACTTGGTTTTGTCCTCATTGATGACTAGACCGACCTGTTTCGCCGCTGTTTCCAATTCTAGGAGATATTGCTCAACATCTCGCTTGCTACGCCCTACTATGTCAATGTCATCAGCATATGCTAAGACTTGTATCGATCTATTGTAAATAGTACCGCCATCCCTAATTCGTGTATCTCGGACTGCCTTTTCTAAGGAAATATTAAATAGGAGGCAAGCCAGAGCATCTCCTTGTCTGAGTCCATCCTTTATCTCAAAGGATCTAGAACTCTCTCCCTGTATTCTAACAGTGGCTTCTAAGATAGACATTGTCATTCTCGTTAGTAGGATAAGTTTCTCTGGTATACCAAACTCATGCATTGATTGGTATAGCACTGTTCTCTTGACACTGTCGTATGCGGCCCTAAAGTCGACGAATAGGTGATGGGTTTCAGTATTGAATTCTAATGTTTTCTCGAGAATCTGTCTTATTGAATGAATCTGGTCAATTGTTGATTTTTCTGGAGTGAATCCAACTTGATATTTACCAATTATGCCCACTGTGTAAACTTGCAACCTTTCGTAGAGAATATTTGCTAGTATTTTGTAAGCAGTTGTTAACAGGGTTATACCTCTATAGTTGTCACACTGGAGCTGGTCACCTTTTCTATGTAACGAGCATATCACGCCTTGAGACCATTCAAAAGGCATGGTCTCATTATGCCCAACAAGAAGTAAAAGCTTATGCAGTGTCTGTAGTAGGGCATCGCCACCATTCTTGTAGAGCTCACTGCAAATTTGATCAACTCCTGGTGATCTATTATTTTTAAGCTTTTTAATTGCTTGGGCAACGTTTTCGATGGTAGGTGGTCTTTCGTTTGGGTTGAAAGGATTCCAATCATTTCGATTTGCTAGGGTGTTATCTGCTTCTTCGATATGATGGCCATTAAATTTTGCATCGAAAAATTCAACCCATCTGTTTAGGATTGAGGCTGTATTATTTAGGATGTTTCCTTCTACATCCTTACAGCTCCTTATTATTGGCTTAAACTCTTTGCGCATTTTGTTTAGATTTCTGTAGAACTTTCGAGTTTCATTTTGATTTCTTAGCCATTCTGTGCTTTCACTGCTTTTGCTCAAATTGTCTTTTTTTTCTTCTATGTAATCGTTTTTCTTCTCTTCTTAGTGTCCGGTATTCTTCCTTTGCTCTTCTTGTGCATCCAGCTTGATTTGTCTTTAGGTATGCCCTGTTTTTGTTATCTGTTGCTTCTTGGAACTCCTTGTCAAACCATTCGATTTCTTTAACTGGTTTGGTTACCAGTTAAAGAAAACTTTAGTAACTTTAGATTACTAAAGATATTTTAATTTAAAGGATAAAAGATATTACATTACAAAGACACCTGCATCGGACAAATATATCATGGAAATGGTTTAAATTGGATATTTATAAGGAAAACGATTTTAATGATCGGATTGTCGACCCAAGTAACGCAACTCAGGGAGCTTGGTCTCGGTAAGACCTTAGTGTTTTCAGATGTTTTGTTATTGATACCTTGCTACTTTTCTTGCTATCCATGATTTCAATAGGGTAACGTAGGACAACTGCACTTTTATTCAGATTGGATTTTAATTATAGCAGTGCTTCAATTGGGTTAGTTCTGCCAAATCAAGGATGCGTATACCAAGAACTTTGACAATGAGCTTTTTTTAGGGAAGGTCCTAAATGTGTTGCTTTTCGTGTGACTATAATCTTTTCAAAGATTTTAGTCACACAAAAAGCCACACATTTAGGACCTTCCCTAAAAAAGGCTCATTGTCAAAGTTTTCACTTACAGTGAATATGATAGATCATGTTATTGTAGACTCAAGACACCAATCTAATATAATAAACGTCCGTACCAGAAGAGGGGCAAATGCGGATTCTGATCACTACCTGGTCGAAAGTAGGATAAGGGCTAGAATTTCAAACATCAAAAAGGAAAGAGGCTCTAAATATGAACGATACAATATAGAAGGACTCAAAGAAACAAACAAAAATAGACAGTACAAAGAAAATATAAGCATCAAACTAGAAAACAGACCAAAACATGAAAACCTAAATGAGGAGTGGGAAGAGTGCAGAGAAATCATAAAAGAAACAGCTAAAGAGGTATTGGGCATGGAAGGTAAAGAAAGAAGAACAAGAACGAATCACTGGTTTGACGAAGAATGTCAAACTATAACAGAAAGAAAAAACAGAGCATATCTACAGATGCAACAGAGGCACAGAACCCGACAAGCAGAGGAAGAATATAAACAACTACGTAAAGAAGGAAAGAAAATTCACCGAAGAAAGAAGAGAGAATATATCAACAAAGAACTTCAAGAGCTACAAGAACTAAGTAAACCAACAGAGACAAGAAAATTTTACCAGAAACTCAACAAAAGCAGAAAAGAGTTCAAACCGAGAACAACGATGTGTAAGGATAAAGAGGGTAATATATTGACAGAACAGCAAGAGATACTTAGACGATGGACAGAACATTTTAAGGAAAAGCTTGGGGTGAATAGGACGGAGATGAACCCTGATATACCATTAGACCAAGCAGACAACAGAGAAAAGAGTCCACCAACAATAGCAGAGATTAGAACAGCAGTGGACAAATTAAAGAACAATAAATCACCGGGATCGGATTAAATATCATCGGAGCTACTGAAAGAAGGAGGAGACGCATTACTTAAAGCCATACATGAGCTGATAAGAAAGATATGGTTAAATAAACAGCTACCAAAGGAGTGGAATAGCGGCATTATTGTACCACTACATAAAAAAGGAAACCAGTTAGAATGTGAAAACTACCGTGGAATCACGCTGTTGAATGCGGCATACAAAATAATGTCCAACGTAATGTATGAAAGACTTAGACCATACGCTGAAAAAATAGTTGGCAAATACCAATGTGGCTTCTGTAGACAGAAGTCAACAATAGACCAGATATTTGTTCTGCGACAGATCCTTGAAAAAACAAGTGAATATAACATCGACACACATCATCTCTTCATAGACTTCGAAAGCGCATATGACAATATAAACCGAGAATTCCTAACAAAAGCAATGAAAGAATTTAATATACCAACACAGCTAATAGAATTGATAAAAGAAACACTAAAAGTAGAAAGTAAAATCCGGATACAAAACGAATTAACGGAAACAATAGATGTGAAGAAGGGACTACGCCAGGAAGACGCTCTATCATGCATATTATTCAACATCATACTTGAAAAAATAATGAGACACAACAGTTAATACCCGAGGAACAATAATGAATAAAAGCGTGCAAGTACTAGCATTTGCAGATGATGTTGACATAATCGCAAGATCAAGAAGAGAAATGATAGAGGCATTCACTCAAATAGAACGAGCTGCAAAAAATAGTGGTCTTAGAATCAATCAGACAAAAACAAAATATATGCCTGCAAATAAAAACGCACAAATAAGGCAGCTGCCAAATTTAACAATAGGAGAATACAACATTGAGGCGGTAAAAAACTTTACATACTTAGGATCCCTAGTTACGTCTGATAACAACGTTGCAGAGAAAGTGAAGAGGAGAATATTTATTGCCAATAAATGTTACCATGGCTTAATTAGGCAACTAAGATCAGATAACGTCTCCAGAAAAACAAAATGCCAAATATACAAAACCTTAATAAGACCGGTACTCACATACGGTTCAGAAACCTGGACACTCTCTAAAAGGGAGGAAACGTTGTTAGCCACCTTTGAAAGAAAAATCTTGCGACACATATATAAGGGCACAAAAGAAAATGGGATTTGGCGGAGAAGGTATAACTTTGAACTATACAACATATACCAGGATCCGGATATCATAACATTCATTAAAATAGGAAGGCTACGTTGGATTGGACATGTGGAAAGAATGGAAGAAGGCGAAATACCAAACAAAATATTCAAACAAGTGCCAGTAGGAAAAAGAACAAGAGGAAGACCGAAGCTGAGATACGTAGAACAAATAGAAAATGATATAACAACATTAAAAATTAAAAACTGGAAAAAAAAAA